CCACCCACCTCTACATAAAGGCTCTATTCTTAAGAGGTTGTGGCTACTTCTTACTTATGCATTTTTGTTATAAATTTTTTTTTTTTTTTAAAGTTTATTATTTTGGACAGAGAGAGACAGAGCATGAACGGGGAGGGGAGAGAGGGAGACACAGAATCGAACAGGCTCCAGGCTCCTTGTTTATCAGCCCAGAGCCCGGAATGCTGGGCTCGAATCACTTGACTCAAATGCGGACTGGCTGGAAGTCGCATTTGAACCGACATACCACCCAGGCGCCCCTGCTATAAATTTTTAATTAAACTTATCAAGTTCTGCAAAATGAGCTTTTAGGATATTATTAAGATTACATTGAATCTGTAGAAAAATTTGGGGAGATAATTAAATTCTTCACATTATTGACTTTTCCTATAAAGGACCATAGGATCTCCCTCCCCACCCCACCCCCATTTATTTTAGGTCTTCTTCAGTTTCTCTTAAGGATGCTTTCTGGTTTTCTATGTAGAAGGTCCTCTATATCCTTTGTTAGATTTACTCTTAGACATGTGATTTTTCTATGCCATTGTAAATGATTTTAAAAAATCATGTCTATTTTATAAATAAATACACTGGAATTTTGTCCATTAACCTGTATTCAGCAACCTTTATATACTTATTAATTCTAATTATCTAATTGGTAACCTTTATGTAGTTACTTATTAATTCAAATTACTTATGAATGGATTCTTTTGGATTTTTATACATATACCGTCACTAATCCACAAATAATGATTAATTTTTTTTTCTAAATTTCATATGATATGTTTCTTTTTCTTGCCTTATTACAGGTTGTTAACACAAGAAATCATTTTTATCTTCAGGTAAAACCACGCTTTCTTTCAATGTGAGTATTTGTGGCTCTGTATCAACACATCCATCACTATCTTTTAACAAAAAAACAATGGCATTACTCATTTGCAAATGGAATTTGAATACCTTGGAAACAAGAGAACACTTTCTTATTGGAGAGATTTCCTTGTAGATTTTTCTGCATCTCCTTTGCCTTTACTCCAGTTTAAGCCAAGATAATCTCTTGTCTAGGTGATCGGAATAACTTTTTCACTGATCAGCCCCACTTAAGATCTTTCCTACCAATTACTGTCCATGCTGTGGCTAGTATGATCTTTCAAACATGAGTCAGTCTGTAGCATCTTCTCATTGATGTTAGAATGCCAGGATGAAGTTCATACTCCCCAAACCAGCTCATAAGGATTCCATGAGCCACCTTGGTGCACCTCTCCATCCCCATCTCCAAACACTCTACCTCCATCTTTTGCCTGCTAAGTCCCAGATGCAGTGAAATTATCTCACCACTTCAATGTGTCATGCTTTCTCTCGCCTGTCAGCTTTCATATGTTTTTCTCCATAGTAAGAATACTCATCCCACTCCCTGTTCTGATGAATTTTTAGCTTCAGGTATCTGTTTAAACAGCCTTCCTTAGGAAGACCTTTCCTGACCCTAATCTTGGTGGGACTAATTTTCTCTTTTCTTTTTATTTCACTTAAAGCATTTAACATTATGAGATTATTTTGCATACTTATGATGAGATCTTTTGTCTATTTTTACAGGGGGGATGGATACTGATGCACATATTTTAAGAGGAGATTTATGGTCCTCTTTCATTCACTCTGAATACCTGTCCTTTTGTTGATGTTAATTCATAATTCTCAACTCTATTTATTACTTCAATTGAGGCATGTTTAATGAGAAGTTCCCTTAAATTTTTGGTAGCAACAGCAAGGACCAAGCTGCCACAATTTTTGAATGGAGATTTTTCACAGGAACTTTTCAAACATTTTTTCACTTGTTAGAAGAATAAGAATAGTATCTTCCAGAGTAAGATAGACCATGATATGACTTTAAAAATAATAGCATATCCCTATAGTATTGTTTCAGTATTTTTCATAAGAAATAAAGAAAATAAGTAAGAAAATTGAAATTCAATGCAAACAGCGTTAAAGGGTCCACCCAACAATGGAGAGCTCTGGCTGAGGATATACTCAAATTCTTGGCTTAGGAGGCCCTAAATGATCTGAACTCTATGAATATTGAGAACATGGAGCTTCTGCACTAACTCCATCACATGTACTTGTGTTCAATCTCTTGTAGCTCCAAAATACACTTTTAAAAACTCCTTAGAACTATCGATTCTGCATGTATTGCCCATTTCAGTCCATCTCTTCACATGCAAACCTCTTCAAAGAGTTGTCTACATCCACTTTCTCCCTTTCCTTTCAACCCACTTACTCCTTACTTGCTGCATTCAAGATTCTCTTCCCACAAGCCTTTCTCAAGGTATCAAGTGAATTTTTTTACTTCCAGCCCTACAGTGCTTGATCTCCCAGCAGCCTTCTGTACTGCTTTCCACTCCTTCTTCCCAGTGTATTTTCTTCCTTTGACTGTTGTAGCAGTATCTCAGCCAAATTTCCTCATACTTCATTGGCTCTTCCAGTTGTTTTGAGTAATAATAATGAACACGAACATTCACTGGAGAATTGCTAATATCTCATTTTATTTTTCATCAAACTGAGGTTAAGCCTAGTTGTACCATGAACAAATAGTTGGACCCCAGTTTGGACACAAATGTTTCCTGACAGAGCCCCACATTTAAAGAACCACCGTACATTGTCCCATTTCTGGGGGGACAAGTGAGCTATGATTAGTGGATCAAAGAAGAAAGGGTTAGTTTGAAAGGAAAGGAGAGCTAAGATGCAATGGAAGGGGTTCAAATTCGAGACCGAGGAGTTAGGTCCTTCCTTGGTCCTTGAAGAGTCATCCTCAGAGCTACAGCCCATCATCCACGAGGCTGCAGCTTCCCCACCAGACCACGAGAGGGCAGCATCAAGAAGCAAGAGGCTTCACCGTGTGCTTCCCCACCACCCTTGGATAGGGAATTTGGGAGCCTGAGCAAGATTATCAGTGGCTGTGCACTTTCTGGTGCATGCTGTTGCCTCCGTTCAGTTGCTCCTTTTTTTCCAGCACAGATCATCCCTTCTCTATCCACCCCATGGCACTTGCCTTCCCTTCAGTCTCCTGAGCCTTAGGATAAATGGTAATAGAGCGAAGCTACTTTGGGTAGGAGTTTAGGGCGCAGTTTTCCTTGGCTGCCTGAGTGGAGTGCGGCTTCTTAAGGAGCCCCGAGGAATTCATCCTTTATCATCCCTCACGCTCCCCCGAGCCCCGGAGAAACTATATTTGTGCGGTGGCCTTGGGCGGAGGCACTATTGGTGAGTGAGCCAGGGGCAGCCCAGAGCGGGGAGCTAGACCAGGAGATCCAGCCACAATTCATTGCTGGGGGAAGCCGGCCTCTGCTCAGCTTGCTTGGCCGCTTGGAGAGGTCTGTCTGCGCGCGCACTTTCCGGATTACAGCGGCCCGGGCTCCCAGACCTTGTTCAGTGATCTACCCAGAGAGGATTTTCTTCAAACACTGTGAGGCCCATTCCAAACTTTGTCTATCGCTTGAGCCAGGATGGAATCCCCGGTTCCAGCCTCCTACACTTCACTGAAGAAACAAGGCAAGGGGAATGAATTTATCCAAGGAAATTATGTGTGTGGGACAAATACATGTGTGGTGGTGGTGATTAGTAATGAAAAAGGAAGTTGAGAAGCTGCGCTGTAAAGTGAAGTCGGAGCCACCCAGTAAAGGGCCTTGAATGCAGCCCAAGTGGTTTCAACTTAGAGGGCTATGGGAGCCACCAGTAACTTGCTAGACAGAGCCTGACATGTCTGGTTTTGCTGTTTAGATGGCAGTGATGCAGAAGGTAGATTGAAATATCTGGGTGTAGAGGCAGGGGGGTGAGTTAGAAAGCTCATTTCATAAGAGCAGAGTGGATGATATAATGAGGTTGGGAGGGAAGGCGGGTGTATTAAATAAGAGGAGAGGTCATCATAGAGTAGTTGGAAAAGTAAAATCACGTGTGGAGGTAAAAGAAGAAAAATAAAGATGGGAGTAGCTGCCCTGAACTGGATTTGGAAGAGGTTCTATTTGGGACGAGATGAGCGTAAGCCCATAGGCTATCCAAGTAGAAATATGAGGAGGCAGCAGGTTATAGGTTGGTTCTCAGGACAGAAGCTTAGCACAGGGTTGTATGTGAGAGAAAGGAAGTTGAGCCTGGTGGCTATGTGATCACCAGGGAGAGGAGTGGCAGAAAGGGGGGATGTGCCTGTGTTCACCCCCTAGCACCAGCAGCAGCATGGACTGCTTTTCTTTCCACGTCTCAGCTGCATCTGGTTTCCGTGTCATACCCCACCCAAGCACAATCTGGGTCTGACTGTCATGCAGGTGTCCAGAGATCCTGATGAAAAATTCTGTTCTATTCTTTGTTGGGGGCTGAAAATGATAATCTTTCTTTAGCTCCATCTCCCTACCTCCCAGAACACCAGAACTGCTTTCCACAAATTTCTTTGATTAAAACAAAAATCACCAGGGGAGAAGGGATACTGTCCTTAATCAGATTCCTCGACTTCCTGCCCTGGAAATTCTGATTCTCTGGGCCTGGAGTGAGACGTCGGGGATCGTCTTCTCAATAACTGCTTCAGATGAGTCTATCAGGGAAGTTTGAGAAATGCTCCTCAGGCCTAAACACAAGTCTGTCTCTTGAAGCCAGTACCAGACTGAACCCCTGCTTTCTGCCATAAATCAGACTAGGGTGGGTCTTAAAGGCAACTGCAGGCTAAGCCTCACACTCTGGACCCAAACCAACCGTAACCTCAGGTGCACTAGAAGAGCTAGGGTCAGTGTGGAACCTTCTGGGCAGGTCTGCTGTGTTGGAGAAGTAGTTAAGAGCAGTGTCCCAGTCCACAGCTTCGGCTCTGGCAAAGAAGAGCTGTTGCATGTTTTCTGAGTGGGCCATCACACACTGACACTAATGGGATCTCCAGGGAAGTGAGTATAAAGAGAATCAGAGCACAGAGAGGCTGGAGTTCAGAATTGCAAGTATTTAATCTTCTGTTTGCTACCATCATGACTCCAGTGCCCTTCCTTGTAAGTCCTTTCTCTCCTCTGAGTTATGACTTAATGCTGTTTCTTCTTTTCCCTGATGTAGACCCTGGACCTGGCATGCAGAAGCCTCAGCTCTTGGTTCCTGTCATGGCCACTCCAAATGGAACTCTGGTCCATCCAGCATACTTCCTGCTGGTGGGAATTCCTGGCCTGGGGCCTGACATACACTTTTGGCTGGCTTTCCCCCTGTGCTTTATGTATGCCATGGCCACCCTGGGAAACCTGGCCATTGTCCTCATCATCCGTGTGGAAAGGCGTCTGCATGAGCCCATGTACCTCTTCCTGGCCATGCTTTCCACTATTGATCTAGTCCTGTCTTCTGTCACCATGCCCAAGATGGCCAGCCTCTTCCTGACAGGCATCCAGGAGATAGGATTCAATGTTTGTCTGGCCCAGATGTTCCTTATCCATGCTCTGTCAGCCATGGAGTCAGCTGTCCTGCTGGCTATGGCTTTTGACCGCTTTGTGGCCATCTGTCATCCACTGCGGCATGCTTCTGTGCTCACAGGATCTACTGTGGCCAAGATTGGACTAGCTGCCCTGACCAGGGGATTTGTTTTCTTCTTCCCTCTGCCCTTCATCCTGAAGCGGTTGTCCTACTGCCAAACACATATGGTCACACACTCCTTCTGTCTGCACCAAGATATTATGAAGTTGTCCTGTTCTGACACCAGGGTCAATGTAGTATATGGACTCTTCATTATCCTCTCAGTCATGGGTGTGGACTCCCTCTTCATTGGCTTCTCCTACATTCTTATCCTGAAGACTGTGTTGGAGCTGGCTTCTCAGGGGGCAGCACTCAAGGCTTTCAATACCTGCATCTCCCATCTCTGTGCTGTCCTGGTCTTCTATGTGCCCCTCATTGGGCTCTCAGTGGTGCACAGGCTGGGGGGCCCTACCTCCCTGCTCCATGTGATTATGGCTAATATCTATTTGCTACTACCACCTGTGGTCAACCCTGTTGTCTATGGAGCCAAAACCAAGGAGATCCGTTCACGGGTCCTCCATATGTTCTCACAGGGTGGCAGGTGAGCAGAATAACCTCCTTAGGGCCTTCAATCCCTGCCAGATCTGGGAGGATTAGGATCTTGTTGAATGTCTCCGTGATTGGAGCATCCAACCCATCGGGCTGTCAGCTTCTAAATATTTAACTAGATCTTGGATTCCTGTTTCTAGGAAATGTGTTGATTCAGAAGTGTGGTTCTGAGGAAGTTTTGTTCAGGCCGAAGAAGCATCCCCAAGCAAAGGGTGCTCCTTGGAAGACTCCGACATTGGCAGGAATGAGTCAGTACTAAGTCATTTGCTGGGGGTAGCCTGTACAAGTGTGACTTTTCTGCTGACATGGTGGTAGAGCCAGAGAGGCAGCAGCTGGCACTGTTAATCAGCTGTGCCCCCAGCAGCAGGCTTTTGTGAAGGAGATTTGAACGTCACACCTCCATGGCTGCCACAGCATCTGACCTTGGACATTTCAACCATGTAAGACCTGTGGTACAGGAACTTAGGTGTTTTCTGCCTCCAGCCCTCAGCTGTATTTAGTTTAATGTTTAATAGTTTAGCGATGTGTAATTGATATACAATAAATGGCACACATTTAAAGTATACAGTTTGAGGGGCATCTGGGTGGCTTAGTTGGTTAAGGTCAGTTAAGTGTCCCACTTCATTTTGGCTCTTGGTTTCGGCTCAGGTCATGATCTCACAGTTTGTGAGCACAGAGCCTGCTTGGGATTCTCTCTCTCCCTCTCTCTCTGCCCTTCCCCTGCTCACTCTCTCTCTCTCTGTCTCTCTCTCTCTCTCTCTCTCTCTCAAAATAAATAAACTTACAAAATTTAAAAAGTGTACAGTTTGATAAGTTTTGACATGTACACACCCATAAAACCACACCACAGTCAAGAGAGTGAACATACTCGTCACCCCCAAAAGTTTCCTTATACCCCTTTTAAAATCCTTCATTCCCATCTCTCCTGGTCACTCCCTACTCCAGTTCCCAGGCAACCACTGAAATGCTTTATGCTACATTAGTTTGCATTTTCTAGAGTTTTATATAAATAGAATCATACAATATGTACTCCTTTTCTTGCCTGGCTTATTTTGCTCAGCACAATTATTTTGAGATTCATCCATGTTGCAGCATGTATAAGTAACTTAATTCTTTTAACTGCTAGGTAACATTCTATTATATAATTATGCCATAGTTTGTTTATCTATTCACCTGTTGTTGGAGATTTAGGATGTTTCCAGAATTGGAAACAAATACAGCTTCTATGAACATATAAGTCTTTGTATGGACATGTGGTTTTTTTTCCCTCCTGTGTAAATATTTAGGAATGAAATGGCTAGATCATACTGGAGGTATATATTTAACTTTTTAACTGCCAAACTGTCTTCCAGAATGGTTGTACCATTTTACGTTTCCACTAATAGTGTATGGGAGTGATACTTTTTTGGCATCTCAGCCTACATTTGGTGTAGTCTGTATTTTTTATTTTAGCCATTTTAGTAGATTTGTAGTAGTATCTCATTGTGACTCAATTTGTATTACCCTAATAAATAGTGATGCTGGCATCTCTTCATGTGTTTATTTGCCATCTGTAAATCATTGCCACTTTTCCATTGGGTTGTTTGTTTTGTTATTGTTGAGTTTGAATTTTTTAAAATATATGTTGCATGTAAGTCCTTTATCAGGTATATACTTTACATTTCCCCCAGTCCGTGACTTTTACTTCTCTTAAGCATCTTTATAAAACACCAAACATTCTAACTGGTGAAGTCCAGTTTATCAAGTTGTTTCATAGCACACACTTTTTTAAAAAAAGTTTTTAATGCTTATTTATTTTTGGGAGACAGAGAGAGAGAGAGAAACAGAGCATGAACAAGGAAAGGCAGAGAGAGAGAGGGAGACACAGAATCTGAAGCAGGCTCCAGGCTCTGAGCAGTCAGCACAGAGCCTGATGCAGGGCTCCAACCCATGAACTGAGAGATCAGGACCTGAGCCAAAGTTGGATGCTTAACCTACTGAGCCACCCAGGTGCCCCTCATAGCACACACTTTTGATGTCATATCTAAAAACTCATCACCACAGTCACACATACACAAAAAACATTATTCTTTTTCCCCCAGAAGCATTATAGTTTTAGGTTTTACGTTTAGCTCTGTGATCTATTTTGTGTTAGCTTTTGTATATAGTGTAAGGTATGGATCAAAGTTGATTTATTTCCATATGGACATCTAGTTATTTTAATGCTACTGGACTATCCATCGTCAACTCTGCTTTTGTATCTTTGTAGAAAATCATTTATCTATATATGTGTGGGGTCTAATTCTGGACTCTGATTCATTGGCCTATTTTTCTATTTTTATGTCAATACCACATTGTTTTGACTACTGCAGCTTTATAAGAAATCTTGCAATCAGTATTGTCAATCCTTTCCCTTTGTTCCTTATTTTCAAAGGTGGTCTTTCATGGGAATTTTAGCAGCAGTTTAAACATTTATATAAAATAGTCTTTTAGAATTTTGATTTGAATTGTACTGCATTGATATAGGTCAATTTAGAGAGAATTAACATTGTTAATTAGTGTCTTCTAACTCATGAATAAAGTATATATCTTAATTTTTAGGGTCTTTGGTTTCTTTCAGAAATGTTTCGTAGTTTTCATTGTACAGATTTATCATGTCTTTCACCAAATTTATCTGTATTTTATATTTTGATGCTATTATAAATGGTATTTTTTAGTTAAAATTTATGGTTATCCATTATGTTAGTATAGAGAACTGTAACTGATTTCTTTATATTAACCCTGAATCTTGCACTTTGCTAAACTCAATCGTTTCTACAAGTTTTTTTTGTATATTTCATTAGATTTTTCTACATAGATGATCATGTTGTTTGTGAATAAAGACAGTTTTACCTCTTTCATTTCAATTTGCATACATTTAATTAATCTGTTTGTTATTGTATTGATAAGAAATGACAGGACATTGTGACTACAAGTGATACCTATCCTGTGATCTTGGGGGGGAAATATCTAGTTTTTTACTATTAAGTATGTTCTATCAATTCTTGAGAGAGATATTGAAATATTTAGCTATAATTTTATATTTGTCTATTTATTCATGTAATTATATCACTTTTGCTTCAAATATTTTGAATTTTTCTTAACAGGTACCTAAATATTTAGCATTTTTAAATTTCTTCTTAATGAATTAATCTTTTATCATTATGAATTGGCCTTCTTTATTTGTGGTAATATACATTACTCTGAAATGTACATTGTCTGATGTTAATAAAGCCATTTTAGCTTTCTTGTAATTAGTGTAATCATGATATATATTTTTCCCCATTCATTACTTTTCATCTATTTGTGTCCTTTTGTTTGGAGTGCCTTGTCGACGGCATATTGTCAGATCTTACATTTTTATCTGATTTGATGACATCTGTATTTTACTTATGGTATCCCATTTTCTCTTTGTACCATCTGTTTTCCCCCCTTTTGCTTTTCTTTCTTTTTGATTAACTGAATACTTTCAGTGGTTCTGTTTTATCTCCTTTTATTGTTTATTAGCTGTCACTGTTTTGTTATTTTAATGGCTGCTTTAGCATTTATAATATATCTTATCACAGCCTACTTTCATTTAACCATTCAATGTGTAGAAGAAGAATTTTACAATACTGTATTCCCATTCCTCTCCTCCCAAACTTTGTGCTGTTTTTGTACATTTTGCTTTTGTTTATTTTATAAATCCAACAGAAAATTATTTAGTTTTGTTAACAGGCAATTATCTTCAAAGAGGTTTGAATAGTAAGAAAACAACTTTGTGTATTTACCCATGTTACAATTTTCACCAGTCTGCATTTCTCCCTGTAGATGCCCATTATTTCTATTTGGTATTATTTTTCTCTGCTTGAAGAGTTTCTTTTTCTTTGTTTTTCTTTTTTTAATGTTTATTAATTTTTGAGAGAGAGAGAGAGAGGCAGAGTGCAAGCAGGGGAGGGGCAGAGAGAGAGGGAGACACAGAATCTGAAGCAGGCTCCAGTCTCTGAGCTGTCAGCACAGAGCCTAATGAGGGGCTCGAACTTCTGAACTGTGAGATTGTGAACTGAGCCAGAGCCGGATCCTTAACTGACTGAGCCACCCAGGCACTCCGAAGAATTTATCATATAACTTGTGATGTGGTCTGCTGATAATGAATTATTTCAGCTTTTTTATACTTAAAGCATCTTTATCTTGAGCTTCTTGCATCTGTGAATTTATAGTTGTATCAAATTTGGAAAACTTTTGGCTGCTATTTTTTTGTAATCCCTCCCCCTCCTCACACCAAGGACTCCAATTACATATAATTAGGCCACTTGAAGTTGTCCCACTGCTTGCTGAGTCTGTGTTTGTTTTTTATTTACTTATTTTAAAGTTTTTTTAACATTTATTTATTTTTGAGAAACAGACAAATAGAGCATGAGTGAGGGAGGGGCAGAGAGAGAGGGAGACACACAATCTGAAGCAGGTTCCAGGCTCTGAGCTGTCAGCACAGAGCCCATCGCGGGGCTCAAACCCATGAACAATGAGATCATAATCTTATGACCTGAGCTGAAATCTGATGCTTAACTGACTGAGCCACCCAGGTGCCCCTGTATTTGTTTTTTAAATATTATTTTTTTTATCTGTGTTTCATTTTGAATAGTTTCTAATGCTATGTCTTCAAGTTTACTAATCATTTCTTCCACAGTATACCCTCATCCAGTGAGTTTCACATCTCATACATTGCAGTTTTTATCCCTAGAAGTGTGATTTCAATTGTAAAAAAATATCTTTCATGTTTCTACTTAAATTTGTAATCCATTTAATGCAGTTCTAATTATCATCTTAATGTCTTCATTGTGTAGTTCTAATATCTGTTTCAGTTCTGGATCAGTTTAATTATTCTCTTCATTTTGGGTCATTTTTCTTCTTTGCATGTCTGGTAATTTGATCACCTGCGAGACATTGCAAATTTTTCTTTGGTGCTACATATTTTTGTAGCCCTGTAGGTATTCTTATG